CAGCTGCTGGTACGTAAACTGAACAGGTCAATGGAAGTGTCCTGGTGCAATTCACAGTGCTACAGTTGTATCCAAAACAATAGCAAGGGGAGGTCACTGTATAAACAAAAAACCACAGTGGAACTCTCTAGTGTTCTGCCTGCCGTGGGACAGGGACCCTTAAACCAACAATAATAAACACGGCTTTGTGCCTTTGAGTCTCGTACAGTCAAGATGAAACAAGTCCGTTTATGAAATTCTATTTATCAAAATGTTATTTTTACATCAAAGTTCTACTTATGAATATTAAAACAACATTATGTAAGAATAAACAATCAATTTCTTGTCTGTGAAATGTGTTCTGAAATCTGTCCACTTCAAAAAATTTGAGTGCCTACGTTCTGTAGTGTCTACCATTAGAAGAAGCTCCATGTGAAGGGTTTCTGTCTAATTTCGTGGCTTCCTTGTATGAACTCTTAAAGTACTACCACACATTATAATGCTATAATACAATTGGTGGGAACCTTCCAAGCCTTAATATTGTAATTGAGGCTAGCTCAAATCTTACACTAATAGATAACATTTGTAAGAGTTCGAAGTTTATAATTTTTTTTAAAAAAATGCCAAATTGTTAAAATAAACAAAAACATTTTTTGAAGAGGAAGGTAGGTTTATAAAACATCAGACATCAAACCAGAATTATATAGCTTTGTAAGGGTAGCCGCTCAGACTCAAATCTGACTTTGTAAGGGTAGCCGCTCAGACTCATGTCTGACTTTGTAAGGGTATAGCCGCTCAGACTCAAGTCTGACTTTGTAAGGGTAGCCCCTCAGACTCAAGTCTGACTTTGTAAGGGTAGCCGCTCAGACTCCAGTCTGACTTTGTAAGGGTAGCCGCTCAGACTCCAGCCTGACTTCGTAAGGGTAGCCGCTCAGACTCAAGTCTGACTTTGTAAGGGTAGCCGCTCAGACTCAAGTCTGACTTTGTAAGGGTGGCCGCTCAGACTCAAGTCTGACTTTGTAAGGGTATCCGCTCAGACTCAAGTCTGACTTCGTAAGGGTAGCCGCTCAGACTCCAGCCTGACTTTATAAGGGTAGCCGCTCAGACTCAAGTCTGACTTTGTAAGGGTAGCTGCTCAGACTCCAGCCTGACTTTGTAAGGGTAGCCGCTAAGACTCAAGTCTGACTTTGTAAGGGTAGCCGCTTAGACTCAAGCCTGACTTTGTAAAGACTTAGACCCAACCTCTGTCAGACTTTATAAAGATATAAGCTCACACTCAAGCCTGACATTGTACAGATATATATGCATTTGCGCTGCAACACACTACAAACAGTACCAGCAGAAATGCATTTCATTTGAGTATGAAATCAAAAACTCTTGTGACGTAACACATGGTTTACTTATGATGTCTTCGATTAACCTTGGACATCAGATTAACCTTGTTCAACCAGAGTCTTGTCGCTTTGCTTTAGATAACATGGAGAATGTCCCTGTGTCAAACACTCAAATGACTACGTTTAATTATTGGCACCAATTCTATTTAAATAGGGCTGTTCCACCAATGCCGTTTAAAACACGACACATATACAAAATGCAGTAGATAAATTAATTATTTAAGGACAAATATATAAAGTTAAACAATTGTTCTATAGTGAATATGTAAATATATGGATTGAATGGTGTTTTTTTAAATTTTCATGACGATGAACGTAAATCGGTTACATCCATATTAAACATAATAGTCACCTGTTTATTGTCTATAATCTATAATGACCATCTGTCTATAATGACAACTTGTCTGTAATGACCACTTGTATAGCATGACCACCTCTCTATAATGACAGCCTGCTTACAATGGCCACATCTTTTGTCACTACCTTTCTATGAAGTTAACGTGCACATAGTGGCCGTCATCCCCCTGTCTGTAAGGGCCATCTACCCATATCAACTACCTGCCTTAAGTGACCACCTATTATAAGGACCACCTGTTTGTACATTTTCAATTGATTTAGGGTAAAAACTGTGTAGACATGAAGTGATAAACCAGCAGTCATAGAATTCCATTCTGCATGTATTTCTAAAAAATCTGAAGGGCTGAAAAATTGTACTGCTAGATTGATGAGAAAAAGGACGGAGACGGGGTGAGAGGTAGAAGACAAATAATGTAGAGGTTATGTAATCACCATTGCAATATAGTGGTCCTTGAAACTTTTCAAGTATCATCGCCAGTAAGTCTATCTGGGACTAGTGCTACAAGTATGAGATTTAACTGGTTGTAGTGCTGGAGTTATAAAGACATTTTAGGACAGGATACTGTGTGTAGTAATAGGTGTTCATATGTGTGGTAGAGAGGACGATTTGTGGTAAATAACTGGATATGGGGGTGGGGTGGGGTGAGAAAGTGTTCCGTATAGAGAGGGGTTGGTGGTAGATTTGGTTGTTGGGGGG